GTTACCCAGTCTCAACACCATTGGTACAGGTACTCTACTGCTTCTGCTAGTCCCAAAAGAAATCACGGTCACTGAGTCGATGCCGACCAAAGATCGGATCGCTCCAGCGCTTACAGTACTCTGCCACAAAAGCAATTGGAAGAGCCAAGCAGAACGGCGCTAAGGACCAGAAGGACTAGCAGATATACAAAGGGATACTGGTTATCTCGGCCAGGTTTCTAGTTATTTTAAGGATCATTTCCCTTTCCGACGCTTCTTGGGCCTCTGGCTCAAATTAAGTGGGATCGCCCTTCTTTTCAATTGCTTTAAAATCTTTGGAAGCTTCTACAATCAATCACTTCCTACCTTGAACGGACAAAGCAGACAAATAACCCTGGAGGAATATCTGGGATCGTGAACGGTTTAGGAAAAAGGGATCTAATTCGAGCGCTTCCGAAAGAGCCATTTTAACTTAAACTGTTTAATCAGGGTTATGTTGAGGAAAAGGGAGGAAACGGCTTTCTCTGCCATGCATGTGCTGAGATTTTGCCCATTCCGACAGGTCTACCGGATCGATCACACTGACAGCTGTTTCCCATACGCCGGGCAGTACGCCCAATTAAAGCTGACAGCACTGGCAATAACCGGGATCGAAGAAATCACAGGCCTTCATGGATAATTGATTCATGACAGTTTTTAGTTTTCTAGAGTTCCCGAATTTTCCCAGAGCGGTTGATTTATCCTGATGCCGCTTATGCATGCCAAGGGAGACGCGTAAGCCTATCATACTAGTAAAGAATGAAGCAGGTTCCCAGTTCTCCTACGGGAAATACCTCAGGGTAACCTAACACAACTGTCAACCCCAGGAAAGTAGTTATCTGATTTGTTGACAAAATATCACCAGGAAGTTGCCTGTAACATAGCAGANCCCCCCCCCCCCCCGTCCCCTAATAAGTAGCGGTTGAGCAACAGCTTCGCATACAATGTGATCACGGCTTCAGAGTCATAGCTTCAGTGATAGTCTCGGCGGTGTTAGTCATGAATTACCGAATACAGCGTTATTAAAACTGAGAAAAGCACATATATCAGAGCGTACCAGAGGCCCGGTGATCTGACAGATCCACTGGACGTTGCTGCCATTCGCTACCGCTTGGTGCTTTGGCTCCAGAATCCGTACTCGAAGCGCTGAAGGCCGTTATTAGAGCAAACACTCGGTAACCAACCACAATTGGCACTACGGATTACGGCACTGACTGACGAGACAAGACGAATACGACGACGATGAGGACGATGACGCAGACGGCTGCCGGCATAGCGGCAAGGACGTATGGGCGCATGGTGGTCCACTGACAAACACATGAATCGGACTAAGCGAACATAGTTTATTAAAACGAACAGAAATATGTGTGTGTATGTGTGGTGTGTGTGTGCGAACAACCAGAGTACGTCATGATGCTTTGGTGCACAAACACAAAACAGAATTGAAACGTGACACAAAGAGAGAAACACCTAGAGTGATGATGAAGATGATGATGATGATGATGAAGGATACGACACAGGGCAGTTTGACGTGGGCAGATGCTTATGAGGAATCGGTGCTGGTAGTGTAAACGGACCACAGAAGGGCTACACTTCACTTTACGACAAAGACGTGTTTTGCTTTTCGAGCGCACATTGAAAAAGAGCAAGATTATGAGTAAGAATGAACACTAACTAAGTGTAAGGCACATAAATTGGCGATTACAACAAGCATCACACCAAGCACGACACAGTCGGCACGTTACGCTCACGGAGCTGCCGGGAGTGTGACGAACAGACTGACTGGTAACGCGATCAGTGATGATAGAATCGCGATCGTACGCGGATACGACGTCTACGATGCCGATTGCGACGGAGTGGTTCACCTTCGTGTGGAGGTGCTGGTGGTACATAGGTTCGATCACGGTCTCCAACGTGTCCAATCGGTTCACAGGGACGTCCAGCGATCTTGTGCGAGCGAGTATAGCCAGGGGCACATCTGGAATTTGAGGGCCATCAAATATATCATGGAAGTGGGCCACAGCCGTGACTTACTCATCACAGAGTCGACCGGCAAGACCTGCTGGGCAGTTTCTACACGCAACTTGACCTTGCGAATCCAAATAGCAGTCAGCAGCTCCTCTGAAAAACTGTTGATGATGAGGAGGACTTGGTACTCCTAAAAAGAGGAAGAACACTCACGGGCAAGGGCAAGGAGTACAGTCGTATGGGGTTCCCTTCGTGGCATCTCCATAGAATCCCTTCTTACACCGTTCACAATGGGTTCCTTCAGTGTTGTGCTCGCAGAGCTAGAAATTTGAGAAGAATGGTTTGATAGAAACCCCATGGTGGAAGAAATGACGGACCAGGCATCTTCCAAAGGAGTCGCAGCCCCTTGGAGAGTGGTTGTTACAGTGGCATGGAGGACGGGTGGCGGCTGGTTGGCAGTCATGAGGTGTACCTCGACGAGCATCTCCGATGAATCCAGGTTTGCATCGTTCGCACTGATCACCTTCGGTGTTGTGTTGGCAGTCCACACAGAAGCCGTATTCCTGAAAGATTTGGGTTCAGCTTCGAACAGCATTACTAGGAGGGGTCATCCAACTTGGTACTGGATCAGAACTCATATGGAACCTCACCTTGTCACACTGACTTGCGTGTCCGTGGCACTCGCAGCGTTCGCAAAGTCCGAGATACAGACCTCCTGAAAAGTCGAAAGTAAGCTCCTTCTCGGTTCAACAGCATATTGAAAGGTTGAAGGGTTACGAAAGGTGAATGAAGGACCAAATCTTTTCTAGGATGGGGCAACACAGAGCGCCGCTACTTCGAATCGGTGGTGGTAGCGTTGGAATGCATATTTACTTACTATTTGCATATATACTTACTTACTTGGGTCAAATGAAAGTTGCAAGAGACAGTTTTCCGATCTTCACAAGTTTGACACTAATCTACCGAACCCAGAAGATTGGAAAATTCGATTCTACTGCTTGTATAAACTCGATTTGTCCTCCGGTTCCAAAAAGGACCACACATGGCACTGCTTCATCTCGCTCCTTCATATCACCTGTTCTCCTATCATAGTTGTGAAATTACCTCCGGTTCTTGAGTATCCTGGAGCACAGTCTTCGCATGACGTTCCAATATAACCGGGAGGACACTGGCACTGTTCTACCTGAAGCGAGAACTTTTTTCACATTCATAACTTTGACATGGCTACGTATAAACTCTACAAATTCAGGGTTATCATTTGCTAAAATTAAAAAGAAAATGAAGCAGGTGCACCGCTTACCTCATAAGCCGTTAGCCCTGTTCCGTGTGGTTCAGCGTACTCAAGCGATACGCTGATCAGAGAGGTTTGAGAGCATTCTTCCATGTATGTCGCCTGAAATCGTCATTAGAGTGGGGTAGAGCTTTAGCAACGAGTAAAAGGGGAAAAGCGGCTGACAGACTGGCCTACTTCTATGAAGCTAGTCTGCAAGAATAGAAGTTTTCTTTATACTCTGGTCGTCGCTCTATTTCTCCGCTTATGTAGCAAGCATCTGAGGGCTAAGGTATTCAAGAGATCGGGAAAGGTCGAAATCTTACATTCTAAAAATGTGTAGGGCCCCACAGGAACCACTACTCCAATCGCGAAAGCTTTGTCGGTCTTGAAGAAATTCCCTTTTAGGTCTAATGTCCCTTCCCCTCAACTTTGGCCAGCCAAATCGGCTCGTCGTATCTCCCATAGACCCATGGCCCGACTACAGGCCGGATAACTACAGGGAATTGCAGAGGGTGCCCTTGGGCCATCTTACAGATTCAACGAATTATCTGAAGTTTGAAGGGCCTCTTCCAGGGCGATCAATAGTTCTATATAATTTTTATATACTATACACTTGGTCTGAAGTACTACCTTAATTAGAAGATCATCGAGATCTGCGAGAGCCATCAGAAGATGCTCACGAGTTCCTTGTTGTCCATCAACTCGTTGCCACCTGAAGCAAATCTTCCTCGTCGAGATCTGCGAGAGCCATCAGAAGATGCTCACGAGTTCCTTGTTGTCCATCAACTCGTTGCCACCTGAAGCAAAGCTTCCTCGTCATTTGGTCGAGCTAGTAATTCTTTTTCACAAAGTTACCTGTCCTCAAATATTTTCAGCTCAATAGTATTTTCCCTGTCGGGATAAATTGGAATGCGATGTTTGTATTGAAGCGTAATATCGTTTCCCTGCAATTACCCAAGTAATCTTACTGTCAGACTGGTAATTCCCAAAAAAAGGCATATTTAATAAACAAAAAACTGATGAAATTACTTACTCTAATAATAACATCAGGATCTTGATTCATTCTTCCTTGGCCAGAGAACGTGAACGTGAATTTCAAGGTTCCTCCGTATGCGGTCACTTTGTTTCCAAGGAATTTTGCTGGCATTTTCCAGTACAGAACCTGACCAACTGCCTAAAAATACTGTTTTTCAATTGGTCAAATGGTTTTTTTAAGACGCAGGGTCATGGGCACAGCGTTCGATCTTGGTATGTACCCGATCCAGCAGCTATCCACACCTTACACAGTAGTTAACCACTGCGCCATCAGGACAACCTCAGTTCAAATGCTACACTTGGCATGATTGAAATTTATGGTCACTCATGCTCCTAAAACTGTTTTTTTCTATCCTTTTCATCGGTCTCGAGGGAAAATCCACAGGCGTTTTCCACAAAATGAACCTTTTTGACCATTAATAGACCCCGTCAAGCCTTTTTTGCAGGATGCTACTGTTTTTTTTGGTATCGCTAAGAACGTCATCATTTTTTTTAAATTTTAATTGCTATTTCTAATAAGCTTTATCTTCATTGTATTGACAGTTTCCTTACCTAGCTATGAAGTTTATTCGTTGGAACAGAGCACAGGGGCCAATGATAAGCCCCGACTGTTCCCAGTAATGAGGTGTTCCCAGAAAGAACTGTTTAGATTTACCTCGCCCACATGCCTCTCCTCCAAGGTGGAGAAGCTCGACGATAGGGTAGAACTAGGAAAATTACTAGTAATAGAATATAGCAGAGAAAACAAAGTTTCCATGAATTCGTCTGAAAAACCTCTGAGACTTTACACTTGGTTACATATTACTTGGCCACCACATTACACTACATAATATTACACTTTAATATATTCTTTCAGATGTGGCACCGAACCGAAATAACCTGCAACTTTTTACTTTATTTGATCATAACAGATGTGGATGCCAATGGTTTACAACAAAAGGCGTTCCAACTGAAGTATACATCCAATTTTTCTGCAGAAAGGAACACCCATTCGCTGGTTTGAAATCGATGCGATCGTCTCTCAAAATATCGATTCCGCTTTACCATTACTTAGTATTTAGCTTAAAGTAAAGGTAAAAGCACCGCTGCAGTATTACTCGACATTTTACAAGAGCAGGCAGTAATGTCATTCATGGAAAAGTGGTTTTTTATAAGGTGACTTTCATTTTGTAAACCACATGTCATACTCAGTCACCATCACATTTTACTCACTATTCTACTCGTTGTGAGAGTGGGATACCATGGCTCCCATAACTACAAAAACCAGTAAAGTATTGAGAGGAAACTGGATGATGTGAACAGATGTCCTTACCCGAAAAATCACATCATCGACGAAGCACAATGGCACCCAGCAAGTGGATTTCCCTTTCTTCTCAAATCGGACAACGCATTTTCAGGGGCCAGCTAAAACCCAGCGCAAACACGGTACCGCCTTTCCAGGTCTGAAGTTCTGTCGGAACAGTAAATCCTCTACTCAAAAACTAAGTGTGTGTACATTCAACCAAGTCTGGATGAATGGGGCAAAGTGCACGGCGAAATTTGTGGTGATTTGAACGACTCTGGGGCCTATCATTGGGCACAGGTTTTAAGTAGGTTGGATAAGTAGGGCCAACTGATACTACTAAGCTAATCTACTTCAAATTTGTGCTCCAATGATAGGCACCGATGTCGTTTAAATCACTACGAATTTGCCGCGTACATCCAGATTGGGTAAATGTTCCGTCCCCTCCAGGGACTTGGAGATACAGTAAACTAGTATATCAGGCAGAAAAAATACTAGACGATCACGGAGAAC